AATAACCTTAAGGCTCTTTTCTAATCACCCCTCCAACTGATAACCCTTAGAACCATAAGAGTAACAAGCATCTAATTTCCTCTCACAATATCATCCCTGAATCGCACATTAAGGTCATGAAAATACAGGAAATAATCCCTGACTAAAGAAGCCCTTCTGATTGTTCAACAATTTCTCCTTGTCAGCACTTTAGGAAATGTAGAGCAAACAGTATGGAGAATATGCATACTGATGTTAGGGTGTAAAGGATTCACTCACCTTCACTGGTACAGCAGACTTGAGTTGAGCCTTTGCTCTACAGTTTGGACAGTCTTTTGAATGACTAAGTAGAAAACAAGAAAAATAACTTTAACACTTTTTGCTCCATTAACATTCCATTTTATTCTTAGCACTCTTTCAATTAAATCAATCAATACAATCACATTAGTGAATCAAAATGAAATAAAATTCTCAAATGTGATTGGTTAGAAGCTCAATTTAAGAACCAATAGGATAGAGTCCACACATTATGCTTTTGCAATTGAAGATTACACATCAATTGCATGAAGGTTCTTTTCTTCGCAAAAACAAGTGAACTAATAAGCTTTTATGAAATAATGACGCTGTTTGACCTATGACTAATTTGTTGTTTCTGAATCAAAACATTCTACTTTTGTGTGTGGTTGAATAATGTGCTGTCAAATCATTTCACATGACCAAATAGATTTACCTTAAAACCTTTACACCTTAACATCACTGTGTATATTCTCTATACTGTTCTCTATACATTCCCAAAGGTGCTGACAAGGAGAATTTGTTTCACAATCAAGGACTTCTTTAGTTGGGGATTGTTTCCTTTATTCTTGCAACTTTAATGTGGGATTTAAGGATGATATGGTAAGGAGAAATTAGATGCTAATCACCCTTAGGGGTTAAAAGGTTACGGGTTAAGATGACTTTAGAACTAAAAAAATGCTCTGTGATATGTCTTACCAAAGCCAGTCCCTGATACAACCAAAACAGAAAGTGTGTGAACAAGGCAAAGTGTGCGCCAATACTATCAGTTCACGACAGATACAACAAAGTAGCTCCTCATTTAAATCTTTCAAGCACTTCTTTGATCTGCTTTCATCTACTAAATGAAATAAAAATTTAACATGAGCCCCAGCTATGTAACCATTAATGCAATTGATAATAATTTTTTCCCAGACTTCAGTTGGAGGAATACTTGCAATTTTGATGGAGGATATACAAAGTCATGTAGCATTAAATCGAAAGTAAGAGGAGTATAACTGGGTACCAGATAATTTTCAGGGAAGCCTGATGAAATGCTGGGGGGGGGGGGGGGGGGGGGGGGGGGGGGGGGGGTAACCTTGTGATGAGCTGATATCACATCTAGGGGGGGAGTGGTGAAACTCCTAGTTGCTTCATGCTAAGGAAGCCAGAATAATCTCCCACTAGTTGGGTCACTTTGCTTGCAAACAGACTTTATTTACTCTTTTTTATTGAAAGTGGCATTAAGGGCTTTTCTCTTCACATCCCTGCAATAGACAGATGCCTTCAGTGGAGAGTTGCATCCTACATTTGTAACATTACATAAGATAAAGTTCAGTTTAATTCACTTCTTGGAGTTAAATGTACCTTCAGTGATGTTTACTTCTTCCTTTGGATCAGCTTTTTGACCAACTTCAAAAACCTGGGATTGGAAAAGAATATTAATGGTTTTGATACATGCCA